TGTATACTTTATCAACAGGAAAGGAGAGTACGTGCAATCAAATGGGCAAAAACATAAATGGATCATGGGAATGGAATCTAGCATGGAGGAGAAAATTGTTCGATTGGGAAGATGAAGAGGCCAAACAACTCTAAAGGATGATAGCGGACGTGAAGATTTCACAAGGGAAGCTTGATGCGTGGGAGTGGGTTCACGACAAGGATGGTCATTATTCAACAAAGACGGCTTACTCATTGTTGACACAAGAGCAAAGAGGATCAAGGGGAACTGAAATCTTCAGAAGAATATGGAACCCTCTATTTCCAAGCAAAGTTTCAGCATTCAATTGGCAACTGATGCTAGATAGAATTCCAACATGGATGAATTTGTTAAGAAGAGGGATTACTAAGGACATGGAGGAAGGAAGGTGCGCTGTATGCGGAGAAGCCGATGAGAATGCTGGGCATTTATTTTTAAATTGCAAGTGTGCTCGTTGGATATGGAAAGCTTGTGCTAAATGGTGGGGAGCTAAGATATTTTTCGGAACAGATTGCTGGAACACTTTTCAAAATTTTGGAGCATGGACCAAGAATAAACACATTAGAAAAGGATGGGACTGTATATGGAATACTGTTATTTGGTCCATATGGCTGTCTCGAAACCAGAAAATATTTCAAGATAAAGAGATAAACCTGGGGAAACTATTTGAACTCATCCAACTAAGATCCTTTCTATGGATTAAAGCAACAAATGACAGGTATACCTTCAGTTTAACTGATTGACTAATTAATCCTATTGTTTGTTTGAAAGTCACAAATGGTTCAAAAAAGCTTCATTGAGAATTTAACTGACTGTAGTGTTATTTTTTATCTATGGGGTTTTTTAAGCTGTAATCAATACATGCTTAATGACTTTGCGTGCTAGTGGATTTGACAAATGGGAAGGTTTTGTGGACCTGAATAGTGATTTATGAAGAAACTGCAAAAGAGGACAAAAGCTCGACACGGGTCTAGTGTCGATACGTGCTTTTGGTGTCAACACCACATGGTCAGCATTCAAAACTCCGACACGGACGTGGTGTTGACACTTTTTTTGGGGGTCGACACTAAATGGCAGGCGTCCAAAACATTTTATTTGATACCTGTCAAATATGATGTTACCTTTGTACTCCGATTATTAATAAATATTATTTTTTATTGTTAAAAAAATAAAAAAAAGTGCACGCAGGTAGGAGGAAATTGACGCAAATAGGGAAATAAATGCACAAGTGACGTAGAGATTGATTCCAACTTTGAAAAACGTGATATTGATA